CATATAGCAGAATGTTTAAGGAAAAAGAATCTCATTCTCATTTATTTCATGTTAAGAATTTACATCTTTTTAGGTTTAAAAAGGTAATTTGTCATTTGTTTACATTACATAATGAATTGCTCTTTGAGCAGGATGGCTAATGAGAACAAAATTGTGAGCCTGAGCCCCAGATGGACCACTGTAATCCTTTGCATAAAGGAAGTGCACTAGTCCCAGACAACCAGCCTTATCGCATACAATATTGGGCTATGCCCAAAGGGTTATAACTGATTCTACTATAAAGACACATGCACACATATGTTTATTGTGGCACTTTTCACAATAGCAAAGACTTGGAACCAACCCAAATGCCCATCAGTGATATTCTGGATAAAGAAAATGTGGCATACATTCACCATGGAATACTATGCAGCCATAAAAGAGGATGAGTTCATGTGCTTTGCAGGGACATGGATGAAGCTGGAAACCAACATTCTCAGCAAACTAACACAAGAACAGAAAACCAAACATCACATGTTCTCATTCATAAGTGGGAGTTGAACAGTGAGAACACATGGACACAGGGAAGGGATCATCACACACCAGGGCCTGTGGGGGTTGGCGAGCTGGGGGAGGGATAGCATTAGGAGAAATATTTACTATGGGTGACAGGTTGATGGGTGCAGCAAACCACCATGGCACGTGTATACCTATGTGACAAAACTGCACGTTCTGCACATATACCCCAGGACTTAAAGTATAATAATTTTTAAAAAAGTTTGAAAACTCTTTTGCTAACTCTAGGTATACTGCTGGCTGCAGTTGCTACTGTAAGTGATACAGCCATCATTTGCAGGGTACTTGGGAACTTTAAGGGCATGATAAACCTTTTCTTTAGTGGAACATTCCTTTTTAACCTGCTTTTCTCTTTATCCTAATAAGATTTGGCTATGCTTATCTGAGAGTTCTTTTCACAACTTGACCTTTGTTTTCCCAGGCTGTACAGTGTAAAACTGAGTTATGAAACTTGCTCATAAAATGATGTGCAAAATTAAAAATCACCGTGTTTTTCAAATCGCCATCCAATATTACTGTCAACCATAAGCCATTTCATTAGCAAGCAGCAGCATAAACCAAAAATGTAAGAAAAAATAATTCTATCCCTTAAACCAATGTGTGCTTTAACATCAGGTATGGCGGTGAACAAAGACAAGATTACTTGCTTTTAGTAGCTGAACACGAACACCTCAGCCTAATGCCCATAGGGGTATAATTAGAGATACCTTGACACTCTGCAAATGGGCTGCCAACATCTTTACTCCTTCCTTGCATCTATCCAGAGTTCTTGTTGAGGGGCACTAGCCACTAACTGATGAGCCAATGTGGGGAGTATGCACTGTCCACTAACTCTTTGTGCTTGGAGGCTCCCAGTGGAGGAGGTTGAGCTGAGGAAACCGATCTGTTGTCAGAGAAAACTGTATTACCTTTGTCAGTGTGCCCTTGCCTTACTACATCTTCCTTTTTTACCAGTGAGAAACCATAGAAAGTGACTTTGCCTATATGAATGTTCTTTCAACAAGTTGAGAGAGATTGTTATTGCAGTGGTGAAGAGCATGAGCTTTGAGTTAATACCCAGCCCTGCCTCTAACTTTGCTTTATAAAAATGGGCAAGTTGTTTAACTTTTATGAGTTTCAGTTTCTCTTCAAAACACAGATAATAATGGCTCTTTCTTAAAGAGAAACTTTGAAGATTGAATGACATGGTCATGTAAAGCATTTAGCTTATTGTTAGTACATATTAAGTACTTTATAAATGGTTGTCATTATTATTGTACAAACTTTAAATAGTACTTCACTCTCTCCATTTGTATCAATTAATACAGATCCATTTCAAGAAGCCTGTGGAGCCCAAACTGTTTCTAGAAACTGGGGAGAAGATGACTTCTTCTCAACAATGGGAACTCTCAAGCTGGACCTTGTCAGGACTTGATCTTTTAAGTCCAAACTATAAGTAAAATAATTTATTTCAGGTCAAGAACAGTTATAAGAAAGGAAAAGAACTAACATATCTTGATTGCCTACCATATCTCAGCCATGATCCTTTAACCGCATGATATATTCAATATTCTAAGACATAGGTATAATAATTTCTATTATGTATGAATACAGGTGTATTTATATTTATATTATGTAATTTATATTATATGTGAAGAAACTAAGGATGAGAGAAGTAATTTGGCCAAAACTATTCATGTAGTATCTGGCAAAGGCGGTGTTTGAACCAAGTCAATCTGTGTGCAAGGCCCAGGTTTTTCCCAGAGCATGCTGCCATTTTCCTGATATAACTCAGTCCATCTTGATTTTAGCCCCTTTCACAACTCAAGTGAAAGTTTTCCTTGCCTCATTTTCCCAATTAAAGTTTCTTTACATCTCATACCTATCATGAATTAGTGATGTCAAACTCCTAAACTCCTTGAAAAAAGGCAAAGTGTAAGTCGCTCCTGGTGTCACTGACTTGAGAACCAGGGACTGTTTTCTCCTGAGATCTGTTTTGTTAGAATCCTCTTGTTACTTAAATTTTGGTTTGAGTAACAGAGAAGGCTAAAAATATGTGCTTTAGACTGATTTGTGATGGAAAGAGATTCACTCATGTTTCACTTTTCCATCTTAATTTCTAAGGTCTTGGGAAACTGTGCTGGAAAGCAAAGTGTCATTACTCTAGAGCATTTTACTAACATGCAAATTCAAGCTATGTTTATTCATCCTACAAAAGAGATGTAAATTTAGTGCATTGTCACCACCTTCAAAATGAGTCATTTCAAAGGAGCGTGGTAGTGCATCTGGTCAAACCCTTAAATAATTGTTATACTAATGCAGTCTCCCATTTTCTGGAGGCTCTTTAGTGGTTCATCATACATTTAATTTTTAGGAAGATAATTTGCAATCCAATTGTATGGATCTGTTTTTGAAGTCTGTTAACCCCAAGACACAGTGTCATCAATGCTCGTTTAAACTCCATGAATTGTCTTCAAGTAATTGTTCTATAGCTTGCCCTGCTAAGGAATTCATAGAGGATATCTGAATGGGCCAAAGTAAAAGTAATGAATCTGGGCTATTTCCACTCATGGAAAAGAAGTAACAATTGTCAGATGTCTGTTCCTAAACACACAATTCAAATGCATTATGAGGCACTTGTACTTTTAAAATTCTTGCTTAAGGGACATGTACTCCAGTTAAAGATGCCTCAAAAGTGCACACGGACATTCTGTAAAGGCACATCCTTAATTGTCTGGTTTGCATCCTCTTTCATGGGGGCATTTTCCTTGAAGCCATATAGCTGCAACCCCCATGTAGTCAGCTTCTAGCTGACCTCAGGTGTGTTGCTTCCTGGAGATGGAATTCAGAGAAACTGATTTCTCCTAGACAAATGTCATTGATTCAGACACAAATGAAATCACTATAACACAAAACTACATGGATTAGCAATGCGACAAGTGGTCTGATAGATTGAACTTGAAGGCAGGTATCTCATCTTTCTATTCCTTCACCCTTTTCATTATGGAATCTTCTGCTACCTACATTTTCTTGAGAAAGCTCATTATCTTTCAACAAAAATTACCTAAATCGTGGTCAATCGTGGTCTCAGAAATCTCTTGTGAAAAGAGAAAGGATAATAAATGAATTCATTATTTTAAATACATAGGTCCTTTTTTTTTTGCTTCTTTTCTATGGGTCACGAATGAAGGGTCACCCATCATTTCTCTGAAACTTATGCAAGTCACATACATCTTTCTTAAAACTGAAATTATTTAAAAAAATTATGACACCTCTACAAAACTTCCAAATATATTGTTACCTATAAGAACAGACTGACAATGTCTCTTCTCCCAAGTTTCAAGGCAGTGACTATTCCTCATCACAGATAAGCCTTGCAATCATTGAATACAGAATCTACTGTTTGTACTTGGAAGGGCTAAACCTCCATATTTGGCTGAAAAGATGGCCAGAGAAGGTTATTTATGATTCAGCAACAGTCTTATAATTCTCTAGGCAACCCAGACTCTAACTACACAGAATATAGTTTTATGCCTAAAACCATCTGATTTCCCTAAACATATGCAATATACCCCTTTTGTATCTGTAATTTAGTAAACGTCTTGCTTAAAAATGTCTTCCTAATGCAATGGAGCACAGTACATAGAACCATTGTATCTGCCAATCTTTATAACTCCTACCAATTGTTTCTCCCTCAAATACTGCATTTTGGCAAGTTAGAGGGTCATGATGGATACATCTGCATTTAATTGCTTATCTATAATACTGCTCAGCACAGTAAATACACAGATACAAATCATGTAAAATCAGATGATGTCATAGATTTGAAATATTATATATAGTTATGTATACACACATACATAATATGTATTTTTTTACTGTGGAAAGAGGCCAGTACACCGATGATTGATGTTTAGAGATGCAGATCCAATTTCAGAAGCATATGTGAGCACCATAATAATATAATAGGAGAAGGATTTGTGTGGGGGGGGCAGGGGTAATAAAAGCAATCAACAATATTTGTACTATGTAAATACCTTCAATCCTCATATGCCCTAGGCATAGCTGTGTGCACACAGAGTTCCCGACACGTACTCGGCAGGTTGAAGACACAAATCCCGAAATATGGGCATCATGGCCCCTCTGGGGCACTAGCGGACGTTGTGCACACAGGCACTACAGGAGGGCCAAGGAACTAAAACCGCACTCACTCACACAGGTATCCCTTCCCCGTAGGCCACCCAGCAGCGACACCTCTAATGGTAATCACCCCGGGCTGACAGGTATTCACAGGCACATTCGGGGAGCTGCTGTGAAATCGAGGGGAAGAGGGGAGGGTCGGGCATTTGGGGACAGCGGCGCGCGCCCTGGCACGATCTCTGCGCCTCCAACGCTGTCCAGGACCTGAATTCGCTCAGGAGATGCCCAGAGGATCTGCATTATGCCGAGGCGCTGGGCCAACTCACCTCCACGAAATAAAAGCAGGGCAGGAGGGTGACGCTGTCCTTGATCACTTTGCCCTTTGGCCTCTCCTTCGCCGACATCCCTGCCGCCTGCCCGGGTCTGCGTTCTCCCCCGGGCGAGGTGTGCACAGCGCAGCTGAGGCGAGCTGCCTCCTCCAGCCCCAAGCGTCCGGCGCCGCTGATGTCACATTCCCCGCGGCCACCGCTGGAGCCAGCGCGCTGCATGCAGCGCCCCCGCCTTCTCCCCGCCCCTTTTTGCAGCAACCCAGCGATTCTCTGAGCGTGCCAGTCCTCTTCCTCCCCTAGTCTGGCTCCTGCTCCCCGTTTTTCTGGTGAGAGACGATGTCCAGCTCCCTCCTCCAAGCTGTTGCTGCAATGGCTTCCCCTCCCTGTCACCCTCCCTCAGCTCTCTACCGCCCTTGGGAGGCTCCAAGGCTGCCGGAGCTTGACGTCAAGAATCCAAAAAGGGGGACGCACTCCTGGTTTCTGCAGTAGGGAGGTAGAGGAGCCTAGCCACCTAGTCCCCTTCTGGGAACCCTCCCAGGTCACTCTAGGAATGCTATTCAAGAATGCTAAGGATCAGAAGCTCTGCTCCAGCGCATTGACCCATAGCAAGAAAACCAACCCCTGTCTGCACGAAATGAGATCTTGGATCCCACACTAAAAGTAGGCCGAGGTAGTCACTCACTGAAAGCTGGTTACTAACCAGGAATGACAACTCCTACAGGGGATTCTACCTAGGAGACTCCTTGGCTCCCTTCCACACCAAAGCACCCACTAACAAACACTACCGGTTGCCTGGGAATGATGTGGGTTCCTTGCATCCAGAGAGGCAGATGTGTGAATGCGCAGGTAATAGGCATCCTCACTGAGCCCAGAGGCTACTGTATGTTCTAATCTCACTGTCACACTCCCAGAACAGTGTCAGTATCACAATCATAACTGTAAAAAGAAGTATGTCTTCAGATATTAATAATCTGAAATCCTTCACCTTGTTGGCAGTATACATGGCTGGTCTCAATTTTGTGATTGCTTTGGCAACCAGAAGTATCAAGTTGATACAGAAGAGAGAAACACCCAGCAAACAGAAGACATGGTATTATACTAATAAAGATAAGTTACTTTTGTGATCACATGTCCCAGGCCATTTCCAGTATCTCCAAGTCTCCATTTCAAGCATGTGATGAACAATTTCCAACCAATTTGTCCATTTCCCTCTTTTAGTTGCTCCTCCAATAGGTCTTTAGCAATATGGGACCACCCTATCTGATAATGTACACATTTCACTGCCAACACCACCTCTTGCTCCCACTTTCCTCTGCCAGCCTTGGGTTCCAAAGTCTTGCATTATAATTGCTTGTTTCCGCCTCCCAATTTGCCATACACCTGATAATATGCCAGCTTAGTTGAGCCAACTTCTTCGCCCTTACCAGAGCAACTGAAAGTTACTGGAGGAAAACACGCAACTGCATGCTCCTGTCTCACATCCAACTCGTGACCACAAACTCCAAGTAGGTCCTGGAGTTGCCCCCACAATTCTGTAATTTTTTTCTGTCCAGCCATTTTTCCATTCACAACTTCTCACTTCTCAAATCTCCTCATTCTCAGTTCCTGACATTAACTCTTATTTCAGTTAGAAAATGAAGTAATCAGAAGAGAACTACATCTTCTTCCCAAACTCACTACTTGCCTCACCTCCCACCACACACAGTGACCGCCATCTCTTGCCTAGACTGGCATAACATAACAGCCTTCTAACTGTTCTACCAGCTTTTGCCCTTGCCATTCCCACAACCTACAAACCATTCCCTATGCAGCAACCAGAAAGGTCCTTTGAAAAATAACCCAATTGTGTTTTTCCCCTACCCAAACCCCCCCAAGAGCTCTCTTCCACTTCAATGGAAAGTCCAAACTTCCCGTCTCTTCCTTAAAGCCCTGCCTGGCCACCCTGCCTGGTTCTAGGACCTCATTCACATCACTTTGCACCTCAATGGTCTGGCCATTCCAGCCTAGCCTTTCACTGCCTCCGGAGCTTTGCACTTACTGTTCCTTTGTCCAAGAACTCTGTTCCGCCAAAATCGCTTGGCTTACCCCCTCACTTAATTCATATCTCTGCTCAAATTTTAACTCCTCAGGGAAGTTGTCTTTGATGCACCAAGTAGATTCATAATCTCAGACCTCTGTTACTCTTTATTCTTTTATACTATTTTATTTTCCTTCATAGAATTTATCACCGTTTGATAGTATATCAAGTATTTCTGTGTCCTTTTTTTATCTTGCCTGCCTCACCCACTAGTAAACTCTTTGAGGTCCAGTACATTTTCATTATTATATTTTCTGGTAACTAGAAGTGTGCCTGGCAAAGAGTAGGTTATCAGTATATAGTGAAGAAATAAATGGAACAATAAAATTAAGTGATGCATATATAACTAGATAGCATAGTTTTTCACATAGTATATGTTCATTAAGTGCTTGTTGATTCTGTTTAACTATTACGTTAATCAGTAAATATACTTTTCATTACTACCAATGTTACTTTGTGTTGTGGGGGTTGGGTATTGGGTACTGGAGGCCTTTCTTTTTTCAACCTTCTTGGTACTTCAAGAAAATTTACAATCTTTGGTGAGGTAAAAAATAAGCTAGAACATATGTAACTTAAGACAGATCTTATCATCCTGGAAACTCAGTATTTTTATTTAAGAAAGGGTGAAATATAAGACTAAACTTATACCTGCTTAATTTCAATAGCAAAAAACCTGAAGGTATGTGACAAAATATCAGAGATGTATGTTGACCATACCTCAACAATTCAACAAATTGTCCAAGTATCAGAAAGTGACCCTTTTTTTCCTCCCTAGTTGGTCTGCCCAGATTGACCTGCTCACATTGTCAAGGATTAGGAAATGTTTCAGAATTCAAAGACAATTCTTATCGTAAATCCTTTATCTTTCATTAGGTCAGATTCTCCTTCCTTCGGTCTCTCTTCTTTTGAATTTTATTTTTCTAATGTATAGCATTTCCTAAAACAATCAAGCTAAAGATTCCCTTAAATACTAAACACAATAATAATGTCTTACACTGGGGTAACAGTTTGATATATATTACCTACTTTCACTTTTGATGCTCAAAACAATGCAATGAAGTGAACACGGCAAATGATTTCCCTATTTTATAAAAAAGTCGGTAGACAGAACTCAGAGATAGAATAAATAAATAGAAAATTTGAACCAAAACAGAATGAAATTTGGAGTCAGAAGACATGAATTTGAGCTCAGGGTTTGTAATGTTTGAACTCTGCTCATAAGCAAGCCATTTAGTATCTCCAAGCTTTAGTTTTCTATTATGTAAAATGAGAAGAGTACTGGTACTATCTGACAACAATGCCTAGTAGCTTAATTGTGACAATATATGTGAAAGCACTTGGTGAAACGTAAAACTACCTCATCCGTTCATCAGTCCATCCATTCAGCCTATAAGTATTTATTGATCCCCTTCCATGTGAGAGGCATATTTCTCACAAAACACCCACTGGAGAAAAGAATATATATGCTTGTTGCCTTCATAGAATTCACAGGCTAATGTAGGTGAAGAGAAGACAGATACAGACAATTGATTAGTAATAGTAAGAGAAAACACCTCCATGAAGCTCACTATGGAATAGGCACCATTAACAATACTTTGCATCTTACCTCATGTAATTCTCACAAGATCCTTATGAAATTAGTATCATTACTATCACATTTTATAGTTAAAAAACTGAGACTCAGAGATGTAAACTATGATTGTATGGAAGGACCATAGACATAATTAATGGGGCTGAGATTGTTGAACTCAGTAGGTTGCTCCAGGCTATGTGATCTTAAGGGCTACATGTACTGCCTTTCTTTACAAACATATAATTATATCTTGTGATATAGACTACTAAAGAAACAGTTAAGGTGCAGTTGCAATCACTATGAGAAACTTCTTAAGAATGGTAGTTGTGGCACTATTCATAATAGCAAAGACTTGGAACCAACCCAAATGTCCATCATTAATAGACTGGATAAAGAAAACGTGGCACATATGCACCATGAAGTACTATGCAGTCATAAAAAAGGATGAGTTCAAGTCCTTTGCAGGGATATGGATGAAACTGGAAACCAACATTCTCAGAAAACTATCACAAGAACAGAAAACCAAACACTGCATGTTCTCACTCATAAGTGGGAGCTGAACAATGAGAACACATGGATATAGGAAGTGGAACATCACACACCAGAGCCTGTCAGGGGGGAGGGGCTAGGGGAGGAATAACATTAGGAGAAATAGCTAATGTAGGTGACAAGTTGATGGGTGCAGCAAACCACCATGGCACTTGTATTCCTATGTAACAAAACTGCACGTTCTGCACATGTATCCCAGAACTTAGAGTATAATAAAATAATAATAATAATAAAAAGAATGGTAGTCAAGGAAGTCCATGAGAGGAGTTGACATTCAAACCACTTACAGCACAGAGGCTACTAGAGAACACTCCAAAACTAAAAAATATGTTTAATCCCATCTTTACCATGTAAATTCACATTGAAGCCAAGTGCAAAACTTTTATATTGAATGTTGCTTCATGTATGCTAGTTGCAGCTCTACATTACAATAGTGAAATTAAAAACAATTTAATGTGCCTCACAGAACTTGAACATTTTCAATGGAAATCCTGTTTCAGTGCATTCAAATGAAAAATGGCACCCACTGAAAAAGCAGCACTCTGACATTTCACGAGACAGTACTTCATAGCACAAATAACATGGAAAAAAATATGCCTGAAAGTGCATTTGACATTATTATTAAAAGTGTCAGACTTCTCAGATAAGAAAGAAGTCGTTTTTCTATATATTGGTTTTGTGTGCCCATAGCCAAATGCAAACTGCTTTTCTGTTTCCTGGCAACTACTTGCCCTTTGGGTATTTGCATGACATTTATCTTTAAGGTCATAAAAATATATTTAAATTAGTTATGTATTTCTCAGATATCAGCCCACTCCACCACATTTTGAGGGGACAATGTAAGATTTTATTGCATTTTTCTAAACAGAAGAGACTTAACATAACTGAATATGTAGATGTGTGAAGCAGGAAAAGCACTGAAATGAGAAGTTTCTGAAGGACAGGAAAGTGATGTTTTAGTTCCAGCCTCATCTTTGACTAATTCCATGGCTGTAGATAAGAGCATTTTAACTCAGGGACTCTATTTCCACATCTAAAAATGAATGAGTTAGATGAGTGAAATGGACATATGTTGTTGTGTTTGTTCAGGAGCCATCATTCCTTCTTTCTGTGGTGGTTTCTTGAATTTTCATGATAAACTGTCCCACTTCTACAGTCCAAACTGGGACTGTAAATGAAGGTATTCAGTCTGCCCTAGGCCAGATGGGATAGTGACCAAAATGTGAACAACTGGACCCTGTTCCCCAGGAATCTGAATATTGAGGAAAGTGATACAGAGACAGAAAATTGTTGGTGTTGATGCGT